TTTGCTTTCTGGAAGGGGTCTCCTTTGGAGGTTTTCTCCCAAATTTGCCCTAAATCAGGATAAACAATTGCCTCCCAATGTGTGGCTCAAGCGAGTAGAAAAAACCCTGTTCTGATTGCATTTTCGTTGCAATTACTCTCTATTGGGATAAGGCAGGTAGTAGCCGTGTTGTTTGAATTCATAATGGCTCTTGGGGTGGAGGCCTGCATGTTTTTCTGGTCCCTAGGTTTATTTTCTTGTCCAGGAATACCTCCAGTATTGTCCCTCATACATAGTTTTTGCAGTAGAGAGGCAGCAACCAGAATAGTTATTGGGCTGGGCTTGGTGGTAATGACTTGTAGGAAGTTTATAAAGGTCCTGGGGTCTGTTCCAGGTATGAATGGTTCATGGCTATGGTTATGCACCCAGTTTGTTAGAGGAGGAGCAGGGGATGAGGCTTTTCAGCCTTTGCTTTCCTTCTGCTCCTCTGAATCTCTTACATCCCTATTAGAGAATGTTCAGTTTCCCCTGAATGTTGAAGAGACCATCTTTCTGGTATTCAATCTGCTAAGCTTCCCCTGTACAGTCTGCAGCTTCTCTAGAATGAGGGCTGAGATTTCTAGAGGGGCTGATGAGCCCTTTCAAAGCAAGAATACAAAGAATTTAAAGAGCTAACCAAGAAAAAAACAGATGAAACTGGAACCAGAGCTTCAATCCCTTCAGAAAGCAAACCAGCATCTTGAAAACATTCTGGAGGCCACCAAAGCACACAAGCACTTGAGAAGTCTCTCAAGCTACATAGAGAAAGCCTCAAGAGCATAAGCACTCCAACTTGTTCTTTCCAGCTAAGGTCTCGCCTTGTGCCGCTAATAAATCCAGATTATAATTTTGAGGATTTTCAGCATTCTGAAGAGCTGATGGATGACATTCTAAAAGAGCCAGTTCCTCCAGAGATGAGTGTGCAAGCACATGAAGCCATTGCTGAGGAGCTCAAGGTGGCACAGGAGTGTCACTGTCAAAAATCCCTTCACCAGGATTTCTTCTCCTGGGAAGCTCAGAAGCCTCAGAAGAGGATGAAAACAATAATTATCTGATTACTTTAGAATGTAGTCTGAAGATCGTTTACCAACAGGTACTTGTTTGATTGGTTCCATGTGAATTGTTTTTTCTTAATGACCAATTACCATCAGCTGTGTTGGACTCTGAGTCTCACAAGTTTTTATCATTCATTCTTGTTAAGCTTCTGATGTATCCTTTCTCTATAGTTTAGTATAGTTTCTTTTCATAAAATATCATAATATAATAAATCAACCTTCTGAGAACATAGAGGAAAGCAAGAATATGAAACTTCAGCAGCATATTAATAAATTGGAGCATCACTCTGCACAAATACAGAGTGCCTAGCCAGGTAGAGGCTAGGGAAAACCTTGTTTTTTGGACTGTGTGGATTCATTGGCCTGGCACATCTGAACCACAAGAATATAAAGCTTTAGTTGATACTGCTGTGCAGTGCACATTAATCCCACCCAGACATGTGGGGACAGAAACTGTTTCTATTGCTGGCATGACAGGAGGATCACAGGATTTTACTTTGGTGGAAGCTGAGTTGAGCCTGACTGGAAATGAGTGGAAGAAACATCCTATTGTGACTGGCCCAGAGGCCCCATGTATTTTGGGGATAGATAATCTCCAAAGTGGGTATTTCAAAGATCCAAAAGGACTCAGCTGGGCATTTGGGATAGCAGCTGTAGTGACAGAGGACATCCAGCAATTGAAAACCTTGCCTGGACTGTCCAAGAATCCATCTCTCTCTAGTATAACACACTTTATTTAGGCAGAGAATCTGAATCCGGTGCTTGACATTTCAAAGCAGCTTGGAATCACAGAATTACAAAATCACTAAGGTTGGAAAGGACCTGTTGAGAGCACCAAGTCCAGCCATTAACCCAGCACTGCCAAGTCCACCACCAAACCACCACGAGAGGCACCACAGCTGCCTCTGCCAGAGCTTCTCCCTCATATAAAGACACTTCAGGACTGCACAGATTTCCTCCTCACATTTTCTCCTTAGACAAGAGGTGCCAGATTTTCCTCTTACCAAATTGCTTAGCAGACTTGTTTATTCTGTCATTGTCCTTGAGATTTTATTCATTTATCTGCTAAGTTTGATTCTATTTTCCACCATAGTCCTATGAGATGAAAACTTAATTGAGGCTCTTTCCTCAGCTGTAACCTGATCAGAGAGCAGATCACACTTGGCACAGGTTGCTTTTGCCAAAAGTGACTTATAAACTGGGGGGAGGCCTACAGTGTTAGCTTGTGTGTGAATTGCCATCCACACTGCTAACCACACTTGGTCTAAAATTTAAGGAGGAAAAGATAGATTTTTTAAAATTAATTAATTCAGCTGCAATACACAGAAGGCGAGAGTCAAAAAGCTGGATGTGGGCCACAGAAGATGAGTCCAGGTGAAGCTGATATCCTCACAAGTACTCTGCAAACACTCCAGAGCAATTTATAAAAGCACCTGCTTTGCCTGCAGCAAACCAAGCTTCTGACCCTCCCAAACTTTCAATCCTGTCGTGGCAAAATTGTTGCCCAGCTAGCAGGCATAGGGAGCTGTTTTGTGACTATTTCTAAGCAATGCAGAGATTTAATCATCCATTGTTTGGCTTTTTTTTCCATTATGTCTAGATGGTTTTGATTTTGGATTAAGGATTTTGGTTTTAACATTTGCTAAATTACAGATGAACGCCAATAAAGCTCCTTGTACAAAAGCATGAAGCTTTCAAACAATTAACATTTTTCTGAGATAAAACAGTTTGGAGCATTTTATAGGTAAATTCACTATTTCTCATGGCTGAAAACAAATCAGTCTGTGCTAGCATGTCTCTTGCTCTCCAGAACAATAAAAATAAAAATTTAAGTTTAAAGACATTTTCACAGCTCTCAGCAAAGCCAGGAGAGCTGGCTCTAAACCCAGAGTCAGCACTGACCTGTGAGGAGCCCTGGCAGGGCAGCAGTGTTGGTTCCCCCACTTTCCTCAGCCCACATCTGATTCTCTCCCTCTTCTCACTGAAGAAACTTTCAAAATTACATTTGTTCTTTTTTTTTTTTTTTTTTTTGCTCTGCTGGCCAAGGAGAACACTGTTGCACAGGTGCTATCAGATCAGAACAGATCATAGATGTAACACAGTTTCTGAATCTGATGGAGGAGTTGGTAATTAGTACTAAAGCAACAAAAAGCAGCTTATTACCAAAAATCACAGGTAGCCCCTGCCTCACTGAGTATCTCACAGTGTTTTTCTGGAGGTTTTTAGCTTTCCCCTGCACAAACTTTTCAAGAAGTATTTTGGGATTACAGCCAAATACCCACAGCCCAAGCACACAGGCAGGTAACTCAGTGCAAATGAAACCATTGCAGGGAGGCAGATGAGGAAGGAAGAGCTGGGGGTGACATCCCAGGCAGTCCCTGAGCCCATCTGCCCCCACTGCTGAGGCCAGACAAACCAGCTCAGGCAGGGAACATCCCCATTCCCCACCTCACTGCCCCAAACACTCTCTTCCCTGACACAGAAATAACCAGCAGCCTGTGGCAGGTCTGTCTGTGGTGGGTGCTCTGCACAGAGAGGTGCAATTGTGAAATTCCCCCCAGTGCTCCAACACTTGGCTGCCCTTTCCTGCTCCCTCCTCTCCCCTCCAAGAAGTTTCTTTTCAAATGTTATTGTATTTGCACCATTAATGTCACCATCTGAGCTCCTCAACCTGCACACAGCAGCCCTTAGAGCGTGGATTTATTATCCAAATGCCAAGAGTCTTGTTATCTCTAATGAACTTTGGGAAGCAGGAGGACTTGTGCATGATGGTCTGGGTTTATTTACCCAGCTGGCATCTTTTAACTACTGAAAAATGTTACCCCTTTAAATCATGCAGCCCCAGATATGTGTGTCTGCTTAAAGCTGGTAACTCTGCTGACAGAACACGTGGTGACCCTTCCCCAGCACAGACGAAGACTTTCAGATATTAAACAGGATCCAGTTTCTTCGCCTGGAATCACTTTCACAGCCAGAAGTCTGAATTATGCTAGTCCAAAGATGGGAAATCTGTGAATTTGCACTGGAGATGAATTTCCTGAAAGAGCAGGAATACATGCATGTAGACACTGAGATAAGCAAGCCATCCACTTCACTTTACTACAAAAATGAGCTGTATATTTTGATCACTTAATAATTTCTCCCATTCAAACAACTTGATTAATTTAACCTCTTTGCAGCAGCAAGTCTTGCTATCCCACAGATCCCAATTCCACAAAATATGAGGCAGCTTTGTGTTTGAGCAGGTAAGTGACACACTGGATGTGCCACATCATAAACATTGGCTTTGCTCAAAAACTGTGAACTTAATACTTTGGTTCGCACATGCAAACTATTAGTTTGGGATATGGAATACTGCTGCACACAACTTTAAACTTTATAGAAGAAAAAACTTTCATACCAGCAGGGTTTTATAGTCCCAATTTTCATCTGAAGTACTTGACATAGAGGCGTGAACACAGCTGAAACAAATTCACTTAAGATGTTACACACTTCCCTCAGATTGCACATGTGTTTAAGGGTTCTGCTGGGCTATGGACCAAAAATCCAGTCATGGAAATCCTTCTGGTTCGCTCTGAAATTGTGTTTTAGTACTTCTGGCCCGTCCACACAGAGGCTGAACTTTCTGACAGAGGTCTGCAAAAGCGGAGTTAATGTTCTCCACAAAATTCTCCCATTTACATGGTGGGGCAAGGCCAGCTGCAGAGCAGATAAAAGGTGATGGGAAATGCCCCATTCCAGCAATACCCCCCAAGTTCAGCCTGTTTCTCTTCTGAAACCAAAAACTTTGGAGATCAAAAACTCTTCTGCAGAGATGGCAGGTACCACAGCTTCCTCACCAAGTGAAAGAGGAGAACAGCATTTCTGTGAGCAGAAACAGCTCGCAAAGAAATTTCTGTGGACAATTAACTGCACCAACTCTGTTTTCTTCACAAGTCTTTACAACCCAGCAGGCTACTCTGACACACAGCAAGTCTTCAGCTACCTCTGATTGTCCATACAAAGTGTAACATGGCTGACAAAAAAAAAAAAAAAAAAGAGACAAAAAAACTAATTTATACCATTTTCATGCCTGTAAGAAAACAAACAAGCCCCAAAACCAGGACTGGCACAGTTATGGCTTTTTGGATAACAGTTCTTTTTTGATCACAGTCGTCACCCAGCCACCACCATATCCAAACCACTCAAGGTCTCACCACCTCTTGCACATCCCTTTAGATGCCAAGGTGCATTTCCTCAATTCCAGTAGCAGAAGTTCCTACAGCCACTTCCAACTGGACATGAATTCACCATGAAAAGTCATTTGCAAGCCCAGCATTCTTTGGCTTGCATTGGATGTGGAGCAAGTGAAGCATCACAAGAGGAAAGCAGTTTCAAATATTTTTGTTGTAATTGATGGTAGCTGCTTGCCAATTCTTTACATTACACACAACTTTCCAAATGAAAAAAGAGAATAAAGTGAACACCTCCATATATATAATGATGTGTATATAAATTTATTGTGAGTATATTGTCCACCCCGAAAAAAAAAAAAAGGACGTAAGTAGCTCAAAAATTAATTTGGGTTGTTGTGCTTTTTTAACTTAAGTCTTTCTTTGTCTTCTAGTCCCTGAGTCTTTACAGTGAAGCCAGATCACATTTTAAAGCCATTCTCACAAACCACAGTTACTAGAAATGCTTCAAACAAAAGCCAAGGTTCTCTTGCAGTCCCTTGCCTCCAGGAGCTGGGATAATAAACACAAACCCAAATATCCCAAGGCTCAGTAAAAGCACAGGAACAAGCAGCACTGTCTCCATTTCAATGTTAAAGGTATTAAAAGCCCTGGTCACTAGAGGGTATAAACCAAACATTACAGGATCTGTGAGTGGAGATCCTATTACTCAGATGGGTTTGAGAAGCTCTAATTTTATAGCTAAAACTAGAAATGCAGTCCCTTGCCTCCAGGAGCTGGGATAATAAACACAAACCCAAATATCCCAAGGCTCAGTAAAAGCACAGGAACAAGCAGCACTGTCTCCATTTCAATGTTAAAGGTATTAAAAGCCCTGGTCACTAGAGGGTATAAACCAAACATTACAGGATCTGTGAGAGGAGATCCAATTACTCAGATGGGTTTGTGAAGCTCTAATTTTATAGCTAAAACCAGAATAAATATGTCCTGCAGAGTGTTACTGGTAACTCACCCGTGGCCAGGGATCCTCCCAGCTGGGCAGAGGCAGCTGTGCCAGCTGGGTGTGAGCTCCAGAGGCTCAGCTTGGCTGGGTGTGAGCTCCAGAGGCTCAGCTTGGCTGGGTGTGAGCTCCAGAGGCTCAGCTTGGCTTTTTGGGATGCAAGATCCAGGCTGGTCCTCTCTTGGACTTCATTGGCCAACTTCAAGAATTCTGATTTGTTTTCTTCCAACTCCTCAGCTTCTCTTGAAAAACAACAGAGGAAAAAATTGGGGGAGGATTTAGAACAAGATGGGTATCTGGGAAGAGTTTAAAAGCCTCAGGTAAATGAAATGGGAGTTGGCACACTCAGGTTTTATCATCAATTTCACCTTCACATGAAGTTTTACAGCTGCAGATGACCCAGCCAGCTGCCCTGTGCCCCTTGCCATGGGCGTGCAGGAGGTGCCCTGCTCCCACATCTCCTGCCTTTGCACAGGTGATTATTGACCCAGCTGAGGTGAAAACCTTGGGTCAGTTCACTGTAAGAGAAGAGCAGAGCTCTGCAGGGATGGGGATTTGTCCATTTGGGATGTGAATTCAGGACTAAATTCTGCACCCTGGTGTTACAAACACCAGGCCCTGAGCATCACTTCCCACCACAGCCAGGGGTGTGCCAGGGCTCAGCCATGTGGAGGGACTGTCCCCACTCCTGTCAGTTTTTACCTACTGACCCCTGTGCCCACTGCCAGGGGTGGAATCACTGTGCACCAGCTGCCTCAGGCACTATGAGATGGACTGAGGGTTCAAAGCAGCTGATTGCAGGAGTTTGGGGAAACAGCCAGTCCTTTCCAGCACACTGCTCTGCTGGCTGAGCTCAGAGCTGGAGCAGAGTGAAGCCATTGCCAGTAAAACCCAGCTGGCTCTCCCTGGCACTGAAGGTGTGTTCAGCAGCATTAACCCCCTCCTGATCAATGGCTGACTCCAAAGGACAGCTCCTTCCCTAGAGGATCCCCAAGACCTCTGCCACCATTAATGCCTTTCAGAGGATTCTCCTCTCCCCTTTAAAAGGAACAAACACAAGTTAGGAGGAGGCCAATGCTGCGGCACCGTCCAAGGAAAAGAGCTGGGAAGGAAAGACAAGAGCCCTGACTCCCAGCTCTGAGCTGCAGGTCAGAGTTTCAGAGGCTCAGCTCATGGCAAACATCCAGCCCTCCAGACTGGGTTACCCCCTGAGTATCCTCAAAGTGCTAAAAATAAATCTGAAAAATAAAAGCTCCTGCGGGGTGCACCAAAACACAACAGGCATCAAATTGCATTAGAATGTTTATATTGAGGGAAATTGCATCCTGCAAACTTAAATTATCTCTCTCCTCCCTCTCCCCTCCCACCTGCCACAGCCCATTTCCTATTATATTTTTCTAACAAACCAATAGATGCTTGAAATCATGGAAAGCCATAAAGAATTGGAATCAAATTAAGTCTACATTCTAACTGCATTAGGTGCTGTCAAGCATAGTTTACTCACTCTTCACAGTTCTATCTAGAGGCTAAACAATTTTGTACCCTTTCTCTACTAATCAAAACTGATTACTCTGATAATGGACCCCTGACGCTGAACACTTTATGAAGGTAAATTATGCCATATCGAACAGGAAGGGGAATGGAAAAATCACCCAGAGATAAATAGGCCTAAAGATGCATATATTGATCTCCCACTCATTCCTTCTCTCTCTCTCAATGTCTCTATGGCAAAAGGTTCAATCAATACTTCCAGTGCTGTAATGCCATCTTTTATAGTCCCATCATAATTGGCCGTTCCCATCGCATGCCCTCAGATCGGCTTGAGCTGGGGCCTTTTAGAGCTGGGATCTTTTGTTCCTTTCCTTCCCAGATCAGGTAAGTGAAGGGGCAGATTAAACGTGGCCCCAGAGGTCTCTGAACCAGGACCTGCCTGCACACCGGGGCAAGGGGAGAGCAGGGATGTTCAGTTCAGCCACGAGCTGGAATGGCTGGGAAATTCAGCCAACAATCTTCCCATTCCTTCACCAAGGAATGCTCAAGTACAAGCAGCTCTTATGCTTGAACACATTGATTTTTTGATTGTGAGAGACAATACACCTTCAGTCTTCTGGAGCTTCAAAACCCTTCCTGTCCCCAGAGGAAAGGATGGCTTTGCTTTACAAGGTTTATCAGTTAACAGAACAAGCTGCTCAAGGGAAAAGAAATGCTGATTTGATGCCTACCCACCATGAATTTCAATAGTTCTGGACTATTCTGTCAGAGGACAAAGAACAGAACTGCTTCCCAGCCCTGTCCAAGCCTCAGAGGTCCCCTGGGGTAGATTTATGGTTCTCAGGGATCAGGGTGTTACAGAGAGCACAGCACACACCTCTAAAGGGGAAAGGTCTCCAAGAGGGTTTGTTTTTACTGTGGAAAACCTGTGTTTGGTTACACTAGGTCTGGCTGTACTGGTTTCCAAACACCCTCCAAAGCTTCTCCTTGATATGCCACCAGAACAAAGTCACGTTATGCTGGGGTAGGACCCCTCTGGTTTTGATCCAGGCCCAGCATTCTCCTTCTCATTCCACTGTAAGAAGATGCTGTGCTTTCACTGAAACCAAGAGCTTCCCAAAGGGTGGTTTCAGCTGCTGGGTTCACTGCTGCCTCCCCAGGGCAGAGGCACAAGTGCTGGACTGTCTTCAAGGGCCCCACCTCACTGAGCACAGCTCTGCTCAACAGTGGAAACCTCTCTGTCAGAACAGCCCAAGATCCCCCACAGCCACAGAGGGCAATATAAGCATGAAATTCCCTATAATCACATGTTAGGGCATGATGTGAGCTTGTGCAGATGTCAAGAAACCTCTTCTTGGGAATCAGGTGGCAAAAAAATAAGTAGAAAGATAAAACAAACCAGCAAAACTGCATAAAAGCACAGGCTCCACAGAATAAAAATGAGCCTTGATAAAATTCCTGAATTGCATCTATAAATATCCCATGGAATTCCTTCACTGCACCTATAAATATTCCACGTGTAACTCACATGTGAGACAGAGCCAGGTTATAAGTTGTGCAGCTTTCTTTGTCTGAGATGTTTAAGTATCACACAAAACAAGGGGAAGATTTGTGGCATCACATACAAATTCTGCTAGAAAAGGTACAAACTGTTCTTTGCTACCTGGATGTGGCCAAAGGATTCCACCCCCCCTTATTAATTCAGAAATTTAGACTGCTGCAAGTGTTTAAAGACATCACAATGAACTTGATGAAACAAACACAAATAAAAATTAACAAAAGCTTGGCTGAACTGATACTGGGCTAAATCTTCTGACCTATCCAGACTTGTTATTTGTGTATAGTAAGAATGAATACCCCACTCTCCCCGCTCACAAAATGTCCTGTCTTCTCCTCACCCATGTAAATAAATCTCCAGGAGGCCAAAATATTTGCATTTCACTAGAAACGGCCCAAATTACACCACAGAAAAGCACAGGGAGGATCCCTGTGGGAAGTCAGCAGGACCACTCTGGGAACCTCTTGATCAAGAGGAAAAAAGCAAGCAGTGCTCTCTGAAGGCAGGTTACTGCACACACACACACACACAAAATAAAAAGGATGCATCAGGGTTCTGTTTCCCACCATGATTACAGCCAGCCCACACAAGGCCATGGAATATCCTAACAAAACCATCATACCTCAGGGGCAGATGTGCTTTACTGAACACCAATGTGCTCCACCAGTGGAAGGGTTGTTACAGAGCTACATCTGCTCTTTGGGTAAAGATTGCTGCCTTGAAAAATCCACAGTTATCTTCAGCTCCAAGAAAAGAAAGTTACTGCTACAAAGAGTTTGATTTGTTAAAGTAACTCTTGAAACAATCGGGAGATTTTGCTTATCAAGGATGAGCACAGCAGCTTGGATTACACCTCAGAAGGTCTCACAGGGAAATGGCTCACTTCAGAACAACTGTAGGCTTATTTGTCAGATTATGTCCTTTAATGATTTAGACATGGGGTAATTGAGAGGTGTTTTAAAAACTTTTATTCTATTTTTAGACTCATGTGAAGGGTGAGACAATGCAGATGTTATCATTTATGCTATTACAATTAGAAGCCAACTATTTTTTAATTACAATACACTAGAAGTGTATTGTAACTAAATGGCCTTGATTTCTTGGCCATTAAAGTCTGTTAGCTTTAGGCCAAGAAATATTTTCACTAACATCTTTATTTTCACTAATAACCTAGAGCAAGGGATTTACTTGTGTTTCCACACTTGTTGGGGAATATTTAGAAATTCAATATTTAGAAATTAAAACATGAATAACTGGCACTTAGAGGTGAAAACAACCTTAAATCTCACCACAGTTCCCAAGCAAACAGCACACACCAGCAGCTGGGGCTGCCCTGGATGCTCAGCAAGGTCGTGTCCTCCTCTCCAGGATGGGATCCCCATCCCACAAATCCCCCTGCAGCATCCCTTCCCTGCAGCCCTCCTCCATTACTCACCCACTGGAAGCAAATGCAAGGAGCAATGATAATTAGACAAGTACAAATAGAGGGTGGTGCTGGGCATGGTGCCTCCCCCTCTAGACCTGGCAGTTCCCATGCCCACAGGCACTCCAGGGCTGGCACATCAGCCCCTGCTCAGGGTGGCACTGCCCAGCTCCTCGTGTCCCTCAGCTTCTCCTGGGACTGGAGCTCAGGGAAAGGCTCCACGTGAGCAGCACAGGAGGAGGTGGCTCAGCTTTTTTAGGATAAAGCAGTTATGGGATGGAGCCCGGCTCCAGAGGGGCTGTGGCACAGCCACATCCTCACCTGCACCTCTCAACACCTGCAGACAAGCTGAGTGGGATGTCCGAGCTGCATGGAAAAGTGGGTGCTTGAAAGGCAAGGAAAAATTCTTTGTTTTAAGAGTGGATGTAGCAAAACCCCTGTGGGATCCCGCTAGCAGAGTTAACTTCAGCTATTTAGGGAGAAAAGCCTGCTCTTGGGTGCAGCAGCACCTTCCTACACCTGGGCTGCTCCAGGGTCATCTCCCTCATAACATTCCCTGTCTGCCCAAGCCCCTCACCTGATTTTCTAGGGAATAAAATTATGAATTTAACAGGCTCAGTAGAATATAAAACTCAACAGGGTGGGCAAGAAATACCTGTGCACCCCACAGTCACATGCCCAGAATCACTGAGCTTTTAAAAACCTTCTGGTTGAAGGAAAACATCTGAAAACACCAAAAGAAACACAATTTTACCTTTCTGAAGGGCCACAAGTGCAAAGGGTTGCAGTGGTTTTTGTTGGTTTTTGGGGTTTTTTCCCCCACTACATGCTCAAACTTGTAAGGCTGGAATATCCAACAGCAAAAGCAAAATCCCAAAACAGACACCAGTTTTTCTATCACATGAAGGGGTGGGGAAATGGGGAGAGGAAGAAGTCAATCATTTTCTAAACCTTTGCAAAAGTATTTCATGAAGAGTTGCTCCATTTTATACCCTGGCTCCATTTTATACCCTGCAAATGTAATCTATTTTTCTCTCCAAAGTTCTTATTTAAGATTTTTTATGAGGCTTAGCAATCACATATTGATTTAATTAAATTAATCTCTATTTGCTGGCTTATCTGACCTTGCTGTTTATAAAATGGGCAATGTCCCAGTTAAATTTTGCAAACGTTTCTAGTGGTAACCCTACCCATTAAAAAAAAAAAGGAAAAATACAAAATAAAAACAACAACACAAAAAATAACCACCAAACAAAAAAAACCACAGTCTTCTGGGTTTAGGGTCTTCCAAGAGGATTTTAAGGTGCAGTTGTTTCTGCTATCACAGAAACCTGGTTAATCCAGCAATTCCTTTAACCTCTCTTCCCTACAGCTGAGCAACATAAATCCCATCTCCTCTGTCAGCTTCCTTTGTGGACTCTTCTCTTCCCCAGAAGTCCCTCCTCTGGGGCCTGGCAGTTCCTGAGCTGAAGTTATTCACAGCACAAATGCTTTCAGGGCTCTACATCATCACCACTGCAGGGACCTCACGTCCACCCTCACTTAGCAAGCCTGTATTTATTTCATCTTCCCTTCCTGCTTTGCTCCACAAGGGAGAGGGGCAAAAGCCAGAGGAAAGACAGAAGGCAGGGGAAGTTATCTTTCATAAAAAAACTAACAAAAGGGTGGAGTTTTTCCTTTTCTTTCCCAAGGAGCTCTGTTTTCCCAGTATTCAACCACGATAAAGGCAGGTAAAAGTGCACCAAGATAACAGTTCATGTGAACAGATAATGGTGCAAATGCTGGGATAACTAAAATAGCTCAACAAAATAACCTAATCAGACCCTCTCTGTTGTTTCTGACTGGTTCTGGGACACTGCCCTTCCTAGACACACCAAGAACTGGAATAAAAGGGAATTTGAGCATTGAAGAGGTCAGGCAGAACATTTAGTTCCTAACTCACCTATTTCTAAAGTGCGTGAAACAGCAAAGGTTTTGCTAGAAGACAAAAATAGTAAACAAAAGGAGCTATTCTAATTTAGTGGGTTTTTTTTCATTGCACAGATGCACATCTAAGAATTATTTACTTAAAATACAAACACCTGCAAGGGACTAGCTGGACCTGTATCAAACCTTTAAGTTAGGTATTTCCCAGCAGAGAAAAACCACTCAGGAGCTGCACCCATTAAAAACAGGAGAGGTGAAAAGACTCTCCTGATCCCTCTAATTCCAAGAAGTGGGGGGGTTTCCTTCTTATTTAACATGCAACACCAAGACCCAAAAATAAAGTTATTCCTGTAGCCAACCACACAGCCTCATTCATCTCCTCTGGTGCCTTATCCAGGCAACACTTTTAAATACATTTGCTCTTTTTACATCTCTCCTTTCACACTGTCTGCTCACCATTAGAAGTCTTTTCGAAGTGTCTTGGGGTTGGAACATTTGGACAGTTCCCAATACACAGCAGTGCCCAAACATCTTCTTATCCAGCTCTGGGGCAAGTTTTAGTTCATGAGGTGGTCAAGGATGGCTGCAGGTTGTGCCTACACCAACACAACAAGCTGACCTGAACTTCTTTCAAGCAGGAAATGAGAGCATCAAGTCCTCCAGGCACAATTTCAGGGATTTTAAGTGGGAGGAGGCAGGGAATAAACTGTTAATTTAATTATTGTTCCTATTAGAAATGCCTGTGTCCTGGCAGAGGCCTGTCCTCACCTGCCTCCCTCAGCCAGTGCAGTTAGAGAAAACCAAGGAGCACAAATCACCTGGTCTTCCCTGTGAGAACTGATTCAGGCTTGTGCTTTGAGGGTGTTGAGGTAAATGTGCACAGGTGTCACCACAGGTGCTCAGGTGACCAGACTGACCCATTTAAGGGCCATGACCCAAAGCTCAGGTGGTTCTGCAGTTGTCCTGGCAGAGCTGCTGTCCCTCCCCAGCACCACAGCCTCCTTTTTTTCTCTCCCTACAAAATCCACTCAGTTTTCAAATAACACAGCCAGCCTCATGCCTCTCCTCTGTGCCTCCCAACAAAGCTGCTTTGTCTCCTTTGCACTTAACAAGACAAAGAAGATGGTTAACAAGAACTTTTGCAGATATGTTTTATTTTTATTTTTAAGACCTTCAGAAGCCAACTCATCTGCTCTCATGGGCTTCTTGCTGATATGTCTCACTTTATTAGTGACTTTGGCCTTGAGTGTCTCAGCTGTTTGATCAATACTGCAGGGGGTCAGTGATATTTTCTCACTTTTAGTGTCTCGCTGCCTTTAACTCTGTCACCTGATGAACAGCACTACCCCTGGAACGCTTATCTCGTATCGATTTTCTCCAGGCTCCTGCTGCATTTCCAGCTGTCCCACCATTTCCCTCCCTGTCACCACATGCCCATTTAATGTTAACTTATCCCCTTTCTCCTAGGCTTTTCATTCTTATGGGGTCTTTTGCCTCCCCCCCCCGCCCAACAGCAGATTGTCAAGAAAACAATTTCCTTTTTTCACCTGACTCATTGTTATCCTTCAGCCGTTCATTGTTTGTCAGCGGGTGCCCGGGGCTCGGCTCAGAGAGGGCCTGAGTTGAAGCAGATGTTTGAAATCCCCCTGCCCCAGCCACACCACCCAGCCTGGGCTGGAGGGCTCAGATTTACCATTAAAAGTTTGTCTCCCTCACCAACAGAACTTTTCCTCTCAGCTCCGTAGCTCAGAAAGCAAAACAAAATTATTTTTGCACAGCGAGGTAGAACAAGCAGCACTGCTTAATACGTTCTAAATGACACCAATTTAAAGGCCAAAGCTGGATTTGGGGAGCACTGGAAAGCAGAGCCCTCCTTAGGAGAGGGAGTGTTTAATTCCACTGTACCTGGCCACAGGATGGAGAAATCTCTCCAGCCTCTGGAAGCAGAGAACTGCTTTCAAAACTAGCAAGGTGCTGCCTGAAAAGAATCAACTCATTCCATTCCCAGCATCTGAGAAATCTACCCTCAAAGAACCACTCCTCCTCATTTCCAGAACTCTGGCCTTTCTGCCTTGTTCACTTGCTCACATTTGGTGAGGGCAGAGTACTGTTCACATCTTAAGAGGAGACTGAGGGAGTAATTTCTAGTAAGAGAACCTTTGAAACGTACCTCAATTTAGAAATATCTAAAAGCAAACCAAAGTAACTCATCTAGAATTTAAAAAAAAAAATCATGAGATCTAAACAAGTATTCCTGATTTAGCATTCCAACAGAAAAATAAAAAGCAAAATAAGTTTCACCTGATACTTGACATATGAAAGTTCGGTTTATTAAGGAAAAAGAAGCAATGATTTACACAGTTCTATTTTCAGTGCCATAGGTGGGAGTCCATTGGTTTCGGCAGAGCAGATCTAACAGGTTTCCATGTTGTTTCCCTGTTACCAGCTCTGATCTTCAGCCTTTCACTGAGCTCAGGGCTGGTGAGATGGTAAAAAGCAATTTCTTGCCATGTTCAACTTTTAATGTGTGTCATTGGCTTGAATTGCTCCATTTTTAGACAAATAACACAGTAAATCTCAAGGAAACTATTCCACCACCTCAATTAACATAGGAACTGTCCTCTGCAGTACTTAACCCAACATCTTCCTGGTTTTTACCTTTTGAAATGTATGTATTCAATGAACACAACCCCTTTAACAGCTGAGTATCCTACCACACGTTCAAATGCTGCCAAGGAGATCTGGGCACTGAGCAGTGAGTGGGCTTGGATCATTCCCACATCCAAGAATTAACCAGAAGGGAGAATTCATGTGTAGCCCAGGCAGGTGAAGCCATCCATTTGCAGCCCACCCCCGACTCAGGCAGCTGGGGCTCGAGGTGGAGCAGGAGCTCAGCACCGTGCAGTGAAGCAGCAGGACTGCCCAGAGCAGGCTGAGAGCCAGCAATTTACCAGGGAAGGGTTTCACAGGAGCTTGTTCCCCACTGGGGCTGTGGGAAAGGAACCACGGGCACACAGCACGCTCTGCCCAGCAGGACAAGCAGAGCCCCAGGGAGTGGAACAAGAGAGCAATGGTGAGTGCTGCTGCCATCGCCTGCCACCAGTGCAAGGATGCTCCACAGATCCTGGCCTCCCAGCTCCCTTCTACAGCAGCCACTCAGTCCTAAAGGAAGTACTGGACAGGTCTCACCCTCTCTTTTTCTCCTCTGGTGGGTGAGAGCAACACACACACTCGTGACTGGGGGGCAGCTTGTCCCTGTCCTGCCCATTCAAACCCCTGGGGTCTTCCTGTGCCTTCCTCCGAGCCATCCCAGAGGATGGAGCTGCATGGCTGAAGGGCCACCTGCAGGTGCCTGTCCAACACTGAGCCTTCCCGGAGCTGCCGTGCCCCCTGCCCAGCCCTCCAGTCCCTGCCATTAGCCCCTGATTTAATGCACACGTGCTTTTTTATTCATCTAACAGGTTTATTCCTTTGTCAGGTGCAGCCTCACGTGGGAGCGCTGCGCTGGGGACGGACACAGCGGGATTTATTGTGCTAACAGGTTTGTTCCTGGAGCAGCTATTCCTTTCTGCAGGCTCCCGAGCACCGGGGAGGCAGGAGGCTCCTGCTCAGAGCGAGCCTGCATTGCCCTCCTGCGGCCAGCACCCGGCTCCCAGAGCCCGCACATTAATCATAGCAGCAGGAGTGTAAAATTCAATTTTACCTCTCCATTCATTCTGAGATGAGTTGAAGGCCGGCCTTGTACATATAAACCACACTTTACTTCATCAGAGCCCTGGTAACAAATGGAGTGTCTTCTTCGGGGAGTTTAACCATCAAAAAGCAGCGCGCCGTTTAATTCCACGCGTGCCGAGGGTCAGAGAAGGAGCTCTTGGCATCAGCAAATGCTTCAGCCCTCAGCTGTGCAGTAAACTATGTTTTAGAGATTGTTCCTCAATACGAAATGATCAGTCCATTTATCTGCTAAAGCAGCCTGTCTCTTTGTTCAGTCTCCCAATATTTTTTCCGCTGACCTGATCTGGACAATAAACCAAAGTCATCTTAAGATATTCACTGTTCAATTTGTTACTTGAGTGGCTCCGGGTCTGCCTGGCCCTGCTGGCAGCATCCTGGGCTCCCCAGCCTTCCCCACTGACCCCAGTGCCTGTGCCAGGCACCCCTGGTCTGCACCAGCTCATGGGGCTGGGCTCTGATCCCAGCCCTGCCGTGTCCCAAACCCCCAGCCAGGTGCTCTGCCCTGCATCCCTCCCACACCAAACACACCACAGCACTTGTAGAAGGATTTAGGGCTCTCTGTGAAGCTGCTTTTGCACAGCTGCAGCCACAGTCTTTCCCCAGATTGCTGTGATGCTGGTTTCCTTTATGAGGAGGAGCTCATCTGTGCTCAGGGGGTGCCCAGGTCTCCTCTTTGCACCCTGGGCCCTCTCCTGGAGCTGGTGACCCACCATAGTTTGAGTGAATGCATCTGAGCCAAAATTCAGGGCAGGAGTTTATCACTCATCTCCTCCTATAGCTGGAATTTTAACAGTTTTGCAGCAGTGTGGTGCAGGAGCTCACCATCCTCACACTTCTTTGCACACTCACTGGCAAAGGCCAGTGAAATGGACTGTGTCCCTCTGTCCCCCACCCTCAGGAGGGGATGTAACTCGTGCACAGCCAAACCACTGCTGGCCATCAGCATCTCACTGGTGCCTGAGTTCTGGGCTTCCAGTGTTAGAACTGCTTTGCCTCTCTCTACATCACTTGATGATGAAGCTTTCAGAAGCTCAGTTCCACAAGAGGTTTCACAGTGCCTGAGAGAGCTGAGCTGGCTCTGGCACTACCACCTCTAACTCACTTTTCCCTGGCTATCTCAGGTATCTCAGTTAGCAGACTGGGTGCACCTTATCCTTTGGCATCAGCAGTCCCTCTGCACTGCGTGGAGGATCAGACACCCACACCAGGCTGTGCTGTCCACTCAGGAGCCAGACACCCCAAAGTCAGCCCTCACAGCTCCTGACTCACGCCCTGAGCCCTTTCATGCAGGCACCTGTAAATAACTAATGCAGGTTTACACTGCAGTGATGAGGGATTTAATCTTTAAAGATGTTAAAAGAGCTCCCAAACCACTGAACCATCCTGGCTGCGCAGACAAGACACTGCCTGGCAAAGCTGCTCCTCATAATCATTAATTTTAATTCACTTGCCATTTTTCATGCTGTGTTTGCCCCGTGTTGCTCATGAGGAGCTCCATATCATCTGTCCACGTAAGCAGCAAGATTTTAACAGCAGCCTGCTGACTGCAGCTTGCTCAATGCTTCCCAGCTAGGCTGTGCCACGCCAAGCCTTCAGCCAAAACAACACCGGCCTGCAGGAGCAAATGAGAGATGCTGGAAGTCTCTAAAAGGACATTTTCATTCCACTGCAAAGGCCCAGTGAGTTGGACTGTTGTGGGGGTGTGTGTGCAGAGCACAGCTTGGGGACCCACACCTCAACAGCTGGGCAGTGGCAGACAGTGCCATAAGCTTCATTTGTGTTTTTTTCACTGAAAACTTTCATTTAAAACATTTTTGATCCTTTTTCCCAAGGAAGATCCTGATCCTTTATCCATGTTTTGAAGTTTCATCCTGCTTCTTTCACAGTTTT